AATTTCCCCCCCCCCCCCCACCCTCCAATACACCTTCGCCCTTACAACACTTAAACAACATCTAGAATGGCACACCCCCTTACTCTCTCTCTCTCTCTCTCTCTGTCTCTCTTCCCCCTCCTCTTCCCACTCCTCTTCCCAGCTTAAATCTTTTCATCACATCACACATAATGCGTCTACATTGCATCGCAAGAATACAAATTTGTCCTCTGACCTTTCCCTCCTCCTCGGTCCTGCATCAACGCTGAGCGCCCCTGTCTTAAGCCTTGGGGAGTGGTCTGGCTTGTGCTGAAGAGTGGATGGTCAGCTGAATTATTTTAAATGTTGTTTTTTTTTGTGTGTGTGTGTGTGTGTGTGTGTGTGTGTGTGTGTGTGTGTGTGTGTGTGTGTGTGTGTGTGTGTGTGTCAGGCGCAGTTCGTTCATAGAGCACGGTCGTGCAGTGCCGCCCAAAATGTTTTAATGTTTTATTACGAATAGCACCAACAAACATGAAATAAAAGTAGTCAGAAACAAACACTAGTCAAATATAGTATCAAAACAAGGTCCTCGCTGGCGCAGTAACTGTCATTTTTTGTGTCAAAAAAGCCGTAAAACATCTACTATACCATGCCAAATCCAGGAGCTTTAACTAAACGTAATAGGATATTCAACAGTGGCAATCTGATTTATAAATCGCTCTTCGGGATAACTCAAGCGATGACGACACTCGAAGCGAGTACATTAATATTAATAAGACGGCACATCTCAAATGTGCACCCACGAACCATAGCCCACAATAGGTAGTCTAAAAATAAACGCGATAGCCTGTACACTATTCTAAGCCAAAATTATGTGATCCCCGGAGCAATCCAGCGGAGTGCTCAAGTGAATTGTGATTGGTTCATTGTCTTGCCTCTATTTTAAGCGACTCTGTGACCGTGAACCTGAGGGAGGTGAACGTGACATTCTTAAGTCACCGTCCTATGAGTTGTGCCTTCGAATGGTTTTGAAGTGGGGTGGTGAAAGTTATAACTTGAGTGCTTAGTTCCAATGCAGGATAAAGAAATTGATGTTTAGCTAACAGATTTAGTTCTAGAAATCAAAGCGACCAGTAAAAAGAAAGAAAATAAAAGTATAAGGTCCTCCTTCACCAACCCAAGGATCCTACCTTCCTATTTACTATGCCCTTGACTACCTTCAACCACAGCACTTAATTGTGCACGCCAACTTCTTAGCCCCACGAGCCGCCCATGGTGTGTGTGTGTGTGTATGTGTGTGTGTGTGTGTGTGTGTGTGTGTGTGTGTGTGTGTGTGTGTGTGTGTGTGTGTTTGTTTGTGTGTATGTGTGTGAGCGGAGAAAGACAGAGGGAGAGAGAGAGAGTGAGAGAGAGAGAGAGAGAGAGAGAGAGAGAGAGATCGAGAGAGACAGAGAGAGACCGAGAGAGACAGAGAGAGACAGAGGGAGAGAGAGAGAGAGAGAGAGAGAGAGAGAGAGAGAGAGAGAGATCGAGAGAGACAGAGAGAGACCGAGAGAGACAGAGAGAGACAGAGGGAGGGAGAGAGAGAGAGAGAGAGAGAGAGAGAGAGAGAGAGAGAGAGAGAGAGAGAGAGAGAGATAGAGAGAGAGAGAGAGAGAGAGAGAGAGAGGAAGGTGGGTGGGGGGGGGGGGGGTTGTGATAAATGTCTATGTGAGAGTTTACGTTAGTGTGTTGTTCGTTTGGTAAGAGTTCTGCGGCCCTTGCAACTACATAAGGCTAGATGAGAGCACTTGACTCCAAGTTGGCTGTTAACACGTTAGTTCACAGCACGGCTTGTGTTTGTGTGTACTTTCTTTTTAAAGTAAGGTTTTACCGCGCTCACAACTGCATCAGGTCATATGAGTGCAAAGGAGTGGATGTCCACAGAGGTCCAAACGGGGAATCAGGCTTACTCTGCTGACCTGTCTAGCCTCAACAGCACAAAGTCTGCTTCGACTATCAAGACGCCCAGGGAATAGCAGTTCACAAGAGAGTGACTAACGTACAAAAGCAATAGAGGAAAACTGACGATAGTCAGGATGAGGAAATAAAAAGCAGCAGTACTCTATATGTTGTTCCGGCACAGTACGAGTATGACATTGATAAATCAGCCCTTTTACAATTCTACTGTGCATAAGTACATATCAGTAATATCCCTCTTTGAGAATGGCCTAAAGACAACTTCAGTCAGCAGCACTGCCCTGGTTTGAAAAGGGGGGAGGGGGATTTGTTGTCTTTCAGCCACACCCCTGATCTTAGTGTAGGTAAGATATAGCACCTAGTCTTTTCGGATTAGGGCAATAAAATCTCGGAGGTCCCGTCTGTAGGTTGCGCATGTTCAAGATCCGTTGGTGGTCCTGTAATCGGTAAGAGAGATTAGGCCGTCACCTGGGCAAAATTTAAAATTAATTCCTACCAAACTGAAAATTCTTAATGTGTCCCACAGGCTCATATAACCTTATACCTTACGCAGTTGTGATCGCCGTAGGACACTCACTCCCCCCCCCAAAAAAAAACAACAACCAACAACACAAAAAAACAACAACAATAACAAAAAACAAACAACAAAAACCCACAACAACAAACAACAAAACAAACATAATAAAACAAACAACCCCCAACCCCCACCCCTCCAAAACAACAACAATAAAAAACAAACAAACAAACAAAATTAAAGAAGAATAACAAAAAAAGAAAAAGAAAAAAAGAAACGTTTAGTAGATCTAAGTAGTTAAGTGTGCCACCTGCAGGAGCCACGTAGATGGGTCTGTTGACCACGATCCGACCGTCCAGGTTCTTGATGGCCTTCACTGCGTCCTGGGCCTCTGACATGATGACAAAACCAAAACCTTTGGATGCCCCGAACGCGTTGGAGATCACCTGAGTTGAGTATAGTTTCGTTTTTAGTAAGAGTTTTATGGCACTTGCAACACAAATAGGTTATACAAGAATCAGAAGATTAAAGGTGTTAGTAGAGAGTGACATACAAAGAAGAGAAGGAGGTTTTTAGTTTTAATAGAGGTTTTACGGCGCTCGCAACTGCACAAGGTCATATGAGCGCCAGAAGATTAAAAGCGTTACACGCGAGTAACAAACATAAAAAAGAAAAAGGGGAGATAAGAACGATAAATGTTTGATAGGAAAGAAGGAGCAAACCACACCAGAGCACCCGCCAACCACCCACAGAAGAGTAAAGAGGTGTTACAAGAGAGTAACAAACATAAAGAAGAAGGAGGAGAAATAATGACGACATGTTTGTTGTTTAGTATGGGGTTTTACGGCGCTCGCAACTACATAATAAGGTTATATGAGCGCGCGAAACACACGTTTTCTTTTTTTATATACGTGGTTTACTGCACGACTGTGTATGGGTTATTTGATCTTAATAGTTAAAATATTAAAAATTTGGTGTAGAGATATATAATTTCAGACTAAAACAACTTTCATAGAAATTTTAAATTATTCAATTTTGTTCTATACTACAATTTTCCATAGAGGCCAATGGTCTTCATAAAATTCAAAATTCTATTGGGACCAACGAAAGAAAAAATGTTTGCCATTTTTTGCATTTATAATATTTCCTTCGGATCTCTCCAAAGTCCAGACATTCGGTTAAAATGTGTCTAAAATGGTAAAATCTGTGTCGCATCCGAGACAGAATGGCTTCTCATCTCCCTGTAGGAGGTATTTGTGGGTCAGGGCCGTGTGTCCAACGCACAATCGAGTAAAAATGACTCTGTCTGTTCTGGAGAGGTGCGAAGGATTTCGCGGTCCCAGTTTGGGTTTTATATTGTAGAGTTTGTTATTTTTCTGTCTTTTCCAGTGGCTCTCCCACAGACTGGAGACGACATGTTTGATAGGAAAACAGGAGCAAACCACACCTGAGCATCCGCTACTACCTGAGTGTATAGATGGTTTATTGTAGTATTTATTATTATTATTATTGTTATTATTATTATTATTATTATTATTATTATTATTATTATTATTGTTATTATTATTGTTATTATCATTATCACTATTATTTTTATTATTATTATTATGATGATGATGATGATGATGATGATGATGATGATGATGATGATGATGATGATGATGATGATGATGATGATGGTGATGATGATGACGATGATGATGATGATGATGATGATTTTTGTCCTTAATGGGTCTGACGGACTCCACGAAGAAATCTTCGAGCGAGAGCGAGGCTCTTTTTCGGCTCCTTTGTCAATATGCTTAGCGGCACCTCCACTCGTCCAAATAACTCCATTCGAATTGCCATTGTTCCTGGACATTCAAACATATGTTTGACATCTTCCTTTTCATGGCCGCATCTTCGGCAACATGGGCTGAGCTCTTCATTTACAAAGTTCTTATACCATCTTAAACTCCAATTATGGTCCGACCGCAGTCTCGCTAGCTCAACCTGGTCCCAGCGACATTTGATAGACTTTTGTTCCCGCTTATAGGAGTACCCAGAATACACATCCTCCAGGTGCTAGTACTTAGTTCTACATGGTGGGTCTCTGATTTCCCTTTGATCATTGGAAAGACTCCTCTGTATGTTGTTGGTAGTCTGTTTCCTTCAATCTCTCTGGCTTCAGTAGCAGCTTGGTCTGCTGCCTCATTTCCTTCTATTCCAACATGGCTTGGAATCCACTGGATTATTATTGTGGCTCTGGCTTCACTGAACTTGCGGCGCAAACCATTCATGTCCGGGCTGTTGCCCAGCAGCCCCTTGCAGAGGGACTGACTGTCAGTCAAGATCAGCACATTGGTCCTACTGTGGCAATTGTCAGCAATCCATTGTGCAGCAGACATCATCACCACTGCTGCTGCTCCACCTTTGCTGTATCCTGCGATTGCCGATCCATCGGTGAAAATTGTCACATCCGCACTAACCTCTTTGATCACACCCTCAGCTGCTTCACGTGCCTTTACAGGATCATCACCTTTTCCTTTTACTCCTCTCAGTTCTGTCCGAATTTCGATTTCGCCATGGGTCTCTCATGGACAAGCTCTCACCAGATTGATCGGCCATCGATTCTCTGCTTCAGGGGGGAGGTGGTCTGCTAGACCGGTGCCCATCCGAAACCAACTTTTCCTGCTGTTTTTAGGCTTGACTGCTTGATCAAGGGCTTTCTTTCTAGGATGGTTGTCTGGAAATCTCTTAGCCATCTCCACAGACTTGAGGCATGTTCTTTTTGTATAGGTGGTGTAGTGCTCAGTTCTGGTCTCATAGTGCAGCGCTTCTGTAGGTGTTGTTTTCAGCTGACCTGATACAAGTCGGAGGGCTTTGTTTTGTATTCTGTCCAGGGCCTTTGCACTAGTCTCACTGAGCCAAGGCTGCCACGCTGGGGCAGCATAATCCATCTTGCGTTTCACAAACATCTGATATACTTTCTTGAGCGACTCCTTACCCCAGCCCCATTTTGAGTTGCTGACAGCACCGATAACCTTCATTTTTGAGTTTGCACTTTTGGACACCTCCTCAGTGTGCTTGTTGAAGGTTAGCTGTCTATCCAGGTAGACGCCCAGCAGACGTGGAGTGGGGTTGAATGGTATCTTTTCCCCTTCAATCTGAATTATTGGTTGCCACGTTGCCTCCTTCACCCATGTTGAGAAGAAGCACACTTCAATCTTGGTTGCATCAGAGGGGAAGCTCTGATGATGATGATGATGATGCTGATGATGGACCCCCACTTTCTTAACATTGCAAATATCTCAACTTCTATTTAAGATAGATAGTTTATTATGATAGTGATGGTGATGGTGATGATGATCATGATGATGACGATGATGATGATGATGAGGATGAAGATGATGATGATTGCAAAGATCTCTACTTCTATTTAAGATATACGGTTTAGTTTTATGCCATAAGCAAGAGAACTGAAAAGAGCAAGCTTTATATTATAATACTAATAACTCAATATTATGTCCCAAACTGACGAGCACCTGATTCCACCTCGCCTTGTCACATCGCTACCTTAGAATTTCAAAGTTTCAACTGAGATTTTTGACCGTTTTGAGTTACTGAGACCATGAGGTCAGAAACTATTCAAAGAAATACATTCGAAAAAGCTTGACATAGTGAAACTAAACATTTTTAATGTCACTTTTTTTAAAAACTAGGTTCTGAGTCGGTAATTCTGGAGTAACAACATAATGATACATCTATATATAATTTATATTTCTTAAAGTTTCAAAGTACCTTAGCTGAGAGCACGGTGCCGTAGACCGCAAACAGAGTCTCCAGCTTCTCATCGCTGATCGACTCGTCCAGATTTTTCACGCAGAGCGTAGCGCTGGAGCTCATCGTCTCGTCATTTTCGTCCGCTTCATCGTCGTCGTTGTTGTTCTCCTCGTCCTCGTTATACCTTGCCCTGCGTCGGACGTGCCGGTTGTCTCTTCTGTTGCTGCTGTTGCTGCTGTTGGTTGTCGTGGTGGTTGTGGTGGCGTCTGAGGTGGTGCCCTCTTGCTCGTCCGGTGCTGTCTTTTTGTTGGCCTTGCGAGTCGCTAAGGTGAGGATGGCGTTGTTGCTGGTGTTAATGTCGCTGTTGTTGCTGGGGGTTGGATGGAGTTATGTTTTGTTTTTGAAAAGAGTTTTACGGCACTTACGACACAATAACACAATGAGATCATGTAAGTGCAGAAGATTAGAGGTGTTGAAATAGAGTAACAAATATAAAAAAGAAGGAGAGGTAAGGACGATAGATTTTTGAAAGGGAAGAAAGTAGTAAGCCACACCAGAGCACCCACCAACTACCCACAAGCAGGAAAGATACGGACGATAGATGTTTCTTAGGAAAGAAGGAACAAACCACACCCGAGCACTCGCCAACCACTCACGAACCTCGAGTTTCTATTGACGCTGGTGCTGTTGAAGTGACCGATGTCGTTGATGTTGATTGGGTGGCCTTTGTCGGCTAGGGAGCTCGCCAAGGACTTCAGCTGCAGGAAGTTCCTGGTACTGCTGCTATTGTTGTCGCCGTCGTTGCTGGTGCAAGTGGCGACCGACGCAGCGGCCGTGGTGCCGGTGTTGGTGCTGTTGTTGGTGGTCGTGCTGGCGTCGTGGTGGAGGTGGTGTCGATGGTGGTAGCTGCCCATGCTACGGTTGTGGTAGTCATCGTCGTTGTTGTTGTCGTCGTCGTGTTTGTTGTCGGGGTAGTCGTTGTTGTAGTCGAAGTCGTTGTGGTCGAGGATGAGGTCGTGAGGGAGAGTGTTGGTGGACGCGGTGCTGGTGTGGGGGGCATACGTCACGGAGATGCGGGAACCGTAGATGACTTTCCCGTTCATGGAGTTCAGAGCCTGCGGAAATAGTTGGGTTTTTTTTGGTAAGTGTTTTACGGAACTCGCAACCGCACAAGGTCACATGAGCGCGCGGGACATATATTAAAAATGGTAGGAAATTCTGAATTTTGCCCATGTGGCGGCCGAAGCCTACATTTATCGATTTTAGACAAGCAAGGGATCTTTAACGTGCGCAACTTGCATACGGGACCTTTGAGATTTTTCGCCCCTGTCCGAGAAGCCTAGGTGTATAATTTTCCTACCTACTAGAAGATCAGGAGTGTGGCTGAAAGACAGCAGTAAGAAGGAGCCAAGGAGTAGCAGTAGAAACTAAGCTGCAGAAAGAGTCAGGAGCCCAAAGGAGGGGGCAAAGGAGGTGAGGGGGTGGGGGCAGAAAGTGGAGACGAAAGCAGACGACAGAACATTGCTAGAGAGCACGAAAGGAGGTGAAAGGAGACAATTTTAGAGAACATCTTAACCTCTAGTCCACGAGAGCCCCCCGCGACATAGTTCACAGTGTTTCCCAACCAACAAAACAGAAAAATAAGCAAACATTATATGTGTTCGGCGTCTTGTCTTTTTTGTTTTTATAAGACTTCACAGCACGTGCAACACAATTAGGTCATATTAGTGTCGGAGATTCCAAAGATGACATGGAGGCGAGCGGTACAAGCGGAAATTGGAAAAGCGGGGACATCATGGAAACAGATAGAAAAGGATGCTCAGGACAGGCTTCGCTGAAGTAATGTTGTTGATGGCCTGTGCTCCACTGGGAGTTAAAAAGGGCAAGAGAGAGAGAGAGTGTCGGAGATTAGCGGTTTTTGTGTAGTTTTAGTAGAGGTTTTACGGCGCTCGCAACTGCATAAGGTCATATGAGCGCCAGAAGATTACAGGTGTTACAACAGAGTAACAAACATAAAAAAGAAGAAGAAGCAAACCACACCACAGCACCCGCCAACCACCCACAGAGGTTTTATAAGAGAGTAAAAACAAAAGAGACAGAAGAGATGTGGAAGGTGTGTGTTTGATCGGAAAGAAAGAGCAAACTGTTCCAGAGAACCCACAATCTACCCAAGTTTACATTTTAAAAAGGGGAAGAAAGTTAACAATTTCGTTCATTTTTCTTTCATAAAGTGAGCTACTGTTCGAAGTAATGGCATCATGGATATACATACAGGGAGGTGCAAAAGTATGTGCAAAAGTATGGAAACAGTTAGTATCATATAGTTGTTATAAAGCATAATTCATTAAAGCATTTGTTGACCTTATTTGGTGGTTTTCGGGGGATGGAGTTGGGAGGGGGGGGGGGTTATATTTTTGTGCCAGTAATTATGTCCTATCGAAAGATATTGCAGGTGCTTTGATTAATTACGTATTATGACCATGATGTTACACTTAATTTACATCTACTTCTGCCCCCCTCCCCCGAATTAGATTAGAATTAGATTAGATTTTTATTTTAAAGCATTAAAAAAACCCCCAAAACCCCAACTACATAGAGGAAAACAAAAGTAATTAGTCCTAAGGAACACACTCACCGTGTTTATAAACTTTGCATTATTTGAGTAAGCGTTTTACGGCATTTGCAACACAACTGAGTCGTATTATAAGTGCCGACGATTAGAGGTGTTACAAGAGAGAAACAAATGGACACACACCATAACAGAAAAACATGAAATAAGGACAGCAGATGTTTGATATAAAGGAAGGGGGCAAACCACACCAAAGCACCCGACAACCACCCATGTCAGCAATAAAGTCACCTTCGCGGCATCTGCCTTGTCCTTGAAGTCCACATAGCCTGTGCCCCTTGACCTCCCCTCCTGAGTCTTCAAGAGCTGGAGTGGAATACAGGCGTAATTGATAGCTTAAGACCTTGTCAATTTTGTTTGTTTGTTCAGTCACAGTATAGTATTTTATAACTATATAACTATACGACTATATATCTATACAACAATATTTTTATAACTATACAACAATATAACTATACAACAATATAACTATATAACTATACAACAATATAACAATACAACAATATAACTATACAACAATACAACAATATAACTATACAACAATATAACTATATAACTATACAACAATATAACTATACAACAATACAACTGTACAACTATATAACTATACAACTTTATAACTATACAACAATACAACAATACAACTATACAACTGTACAACTATATAACTATACAACTATACAACTATATAACTATATAACTATATAACTATATAACTATATAACTATATAACTATATAACTATATAACTATATAACAATACAACTATATAACTATACAACTGTACAACTAGATAACTATACAACTATGCGCTATACAACTATATAACTATATAAGGTCATATGAGCGCACAAAACACAATTTATTGGTTACATCCACAACAGTTCACAGCTCGGCTTGGCTTCGTTTAATAGTTCGGTGAAACGCTAAACATTTTACCTAAAAAAATCTCCGTCGTAAAAACGAAATCAATTTACGTTAATTTAATTAAGATGAAATATTTACATTTCACTGTAAAGACCAATGGTCTTAATAAAATCGAGAATTCTGTTGGGAATACAGACGGAGAACAGATCTTTCAAATTTCTACATGTATAACCACACGTAGAAGATTTCCTTCAGGTCTCTCCAAAGTCTGGACATTCTCGTAAGTTTTTAAGTGTCCAAGCACTTAATCTGCTGTTTTGCACTGTAGTGTAAGCTGCCTCGGAAACCCAGGATGTTTCTGAGTGTGCTATTATAAAGGGTCTGATGGGTAACACCAGTTGTAAAGTGCATATGGCATGCTGCAGGGCGTGGCTATGCACTATATAGATGCAACTCTTCTACTACTTCTTCTACTACTTCTTCTTCTTCTTCTTCTTTTTCTTTCTTCTTCTTCTTCTTCTTCTTCTTCTTTCTTCTTCTTCTTCTTCTTCTTCTTCTTCTTCTTCTTCTTCTTCTTCTTCTTCTATTATCATTATTATCGTCGCTGCTGTTGTTGTTGATGCTGTTTCCTTGTTACTACTACTATTATTGTTATCGTGACTGTTGTTGTTGTGATGATAATGATGATGATGATGATGATATACCATTTACTCTCTCTCCATTTTGTGTACCTACTTCTGCGTGCAGTACAGGGCCGAACCTCTCAAACTCCTTCCTGAGTCGGATGTCGTCAACAATATCTCGGAGGTTCCTTACGCAGATCCGCGGGGACACAGTCGTTGGCCGCCATTCCTGCACAGGACATTGTGGTTAGTTATCACCCTTGAATGGCAGGGTTCTGTGGCTTCACTCTTAGCGAGAAATGAGTTAGTTTAGTTTTAGAAAGGTTTTACGGCGCTCGCAACTGCATACGGTCATAATATGAGCGCCAAGGGGTGTTTTAGTTTTAGTAAAGAGTTTTACGGCACTTGCAACACAATAAGGTCATATAAGTGCCGAAGATTAGAGGTGTTACAAGAGAGTAACAACAAACGTAAAAAAGAAGGAGGAGAGATAAGGACGACAGCTGTTTAGAGGAAACAAGGAGCAAACCACACCAGAGCACCCGCCAACCACCCACGCCAAGGGGTGGATGTCAACAGAGAAGTCCAAATGAGGAATCAGGCTTACTCTGCTCAACTCTCTAGCCTCTAGAATAGATTTTTGTTGATGTGTTTGGTAAGTGTTTTAAGGCGCTCGCAACTGCATAAGGTCATATGAGCGCGCGGGACACCTTAAACATTTTCAGTTTGTTGGAAATTTTGAATTCTGCCCGGGTGGCGGCCGAAGCCTACTCTTATTTATTTTAGACCTCCAAGGGATCTTTAACGCGCACAACTAGCACACGGGGCCTCCGAGATTTTTAGTGGGGTGGGGGCAGAAAGTGGAGACGAAAGCAAACGACATAACATTGCTAGAGAGCAGGAAAAGAGGTGAAATGAGACCATTTTAGAGAAGAACCCTGGACCTTTGAATGAGAGGTGAACACCTTAACCTGTAGGCCACAGGAGCCCCCGAAAAAATAGATTATGCGTTACAAGAAAGTAACATGCACAAAAAGGAGGAGAGATAACGACGATAGATGTTTGAAAGGAAAGAAGGAGCAAACCACACCAGAGCACTCACCAACCACTCAGTTAAGTTTATTTTAAGAGGGGGGGGGGGGGGGGGTTAACTCCCAAAGCTCCGATTCGGCTCCAAAGTATTGAATTTGGGTTGTAGGCATTTTTAGCTTCCTCAGTCTCTCCTACAATTATTTCATCGCATAAGAACCCCCCAAAACCGTATTTTTCCCCATACCGGGCATATTAATCACCACCATTTCCTCATAAAGTCAATATTTTATTTTTCTTTACCGGCCGTTTTCTCAAAACGCGACTTTTATCTATACTTTTTTGAATAACTCCACCATTTTTCATCCAATATTCATGAAATTTTCACAGAATGAAGAGAATATGTAATACTAAAAATTTGTCTGTTGAATTTTTTATATTTGAAATAGTTTTTTTGTTGGTGTCTTTAGTGTGAATTTTCACGGATTTTTTTGAAAACTTGAATGGTACCTCAGAAAAAATTCATAAAATTTTCTAAAATTCGTTTAGGAAAAAAACAACTGACACATTTTTAGATCTAATGTTTCTTTACACGCATGCAAAAACCCCCACAAAAAACAATCAATTTCCATCAGCAGTAAATGCGGTATTCATTACGTAAGACATGTCAACAAAATCCAATGTTGCCGTTAAGCGCCGAGGGGAGATGCAGTTTTCTATGGTAGGCCAGCTCAGCAGCTCTTTCAGTTGTGATGTTATGTTTTCTTAGGGTTTCCTTGAAACCCTCGATCCACCTTTTGCGTGGCATTCCTCTTCCTTCATAGCCTGACTGCTTGGTGTTGTAGGCTCTCAAGGCTGGCTGGTCAGGTGACATGCGTAACAGGTGGCCAAACCATTTTATCCTCTGTCTTTCCATGTAATGCAGGCAGGACTCAGTGCCGATAGCTGCGCTTACTTCTTAATTTCTCTGCTTGTCTCGTCTTGTGATGTTAAGGGTTTTGCGAAGACATTTCATTTCGCATGCGGTGATTTTGCTTTCATGGGTTTTGCTTAAGGTCCAGGTCTGGCACTGATAACATAATGTTGGTATGAATATTGAGGTGATGAGCTGTCTCTTTGTGTCCATGGAGATGTTTGTCCGCCAAGTTTAAGCATTCCGATGAAAATAGACGTTTTAGAGTTATATATCCATTTTGAAAAAGGCGGTAAAGGTCTACTGGTCCAGTTTGAATTTACATGACCAGTGTATTTTGTCTGTGGAATCGTTCCTCTCATCAGTAGTATACGACATAAGACTTTAGTTTTAGTAAACGTTTTACAGCACTTGTAACACAAGCAAGTCATATAAGTGCCGGAAGACTAGAGTTTTTTGTGGGGTTTTTTGTTAAGAGTTTTACGGCACTTGCAACACAATAAGGTCATCATAAGTGCTGAAGATTAGAGGTGTTACAAGAGAGTAGCAAACACAGAAAAGAAGTAGGAGAGATCAGGATGATATATATTATTTGATAGTTTTAGTTTTAGTAGAGGTTTTACGGTGCTTGCAACTGCATAAAAAAGAAGAAGGGGAGATAAGTACGATAGATGTTTGATAGGAAAGAAGGAGCAGACCACACCAGAGCAGCCACCAACCATCCACAGACCAGAGGTATTACTAGAGAAGGGCATATAAAGAAAAGAAGGAGGAATACTAAGGACGATAGCTGTAGGAACGGAAAGAAGAAGCAAACCACACAAGCGCACCCGGAAGCATTGGAGCATCCACTATAAGCTGTCCCCGTCGAATCCGCGTTTATTCGCGCAATTCTGCAACATTTGCATAATTTCGGATTCCCCTCGTCTTTTCAAGTTTTTTTCCTCCGTTTTTCACGAAACAATAATATTATTATTTAACGCCTCGCCATATGGCCAAAGGGAAGTAATCACCGTAATAATTCTCATTTAAGTGACAAGTTGGTTATTTCCCTTGTTAGAAGATCTTGGTTATGTCAGGGCTTTTGTTCCTTGAGCATGTTCAATTTTTCAATCCATCAAAAGTTGTTTTTCTCATGTCTGCTGATGTTTCATGTCCGACAGATGTCCCTGGTTTTAGTGATGTGTCAGCATGAGAGGTCCAGATGTCCTTTTGTTTTACATTTTTCTTTCCTCTATAGATCTAGATCTAGATCTACAGCTGAAAGTTACAGAGATTATATTTTTTGGTTGGTTTTTTTTTTTCCTAATGTGTATTGTTTTCTTTCCAAATACACAACAAATTACTGATACTGGTATGTTCAGTTTTTAATTTTTCAGTCCATAAAACATAAACATTTTTGTTGAAAAAGTGCAAAATATGTCGCAAATAGTGCTACGGTAACTTGCATATTTTTTGCTTAATTTTGCATTTTTTGCACACACACACACATAAACATACACACAGACACACATACACACAAACACACACACACACACACACACACACACACACACACACACACACACACACACACACACACATAAACATACACACACA